AAGGAAGGAAGGAAGGGGAAAAGGAAGGAAAAGGAGGGAAAAGGAGGGAAAAGGAGGGAAAAGGAGGGAAAAGGAAGGAAAAGGGAAAAGGAAGGAAAAGGAAGGAAAAGGAAAGGAAGAAACCAGGTTCACTTTAAAAAATGTGCAGCACCAAAAAAGGCAAAGACATAAAAGCCCTCAACGCCATAAGTACTCATTTATTTGTTCGATCATTCAACCAATTTTTTAGAATAATTACTATGTTCCTGGCACTGGTATATTATACATGTGATGGAGATCAAATTGTAATTACTAAGTGCTCAAAAGTCCACAAGGCTTTAGTATATGTGCTGCCAAAGTGAGCACACACAAGGACTTTAATTAGAGGAATTGACCTATTCTGGAAAGTTTAGTTTCTCCTATATAAATCAAAATTAAAAAACAAAAACCAGAATTACAAATAGGTATCATAATTCAAATAAAGTAATCTTTGAAGAGAGGTCACTTTGTTGTCCTGTACTCTGTAATCCCTCTCCCTGAAGATGTCCCATAGAGGTCTCATAACTGGAACACATTCTGGGACTTCAGTAGCACCAACCGGTGTGCAGGAGGAAAAAAGGTGGGCCTGGGGATCACAGAGGCTGAGTCCCAAACCTCCTCCTCCAGGTCATTATTGAAGGAAAATTTTAAGTATCCATAAAACCTGGGAGAATTTCCCAACTAGAAAGTTTATCCTTAGAAATTATTGCCCTCATAGGCATAGGAGTAAGGTTATAGTTCATAAGATGTGACTAAGATGCCTGCCCTCTTTTTCATAAAAAGGGCAGAAGTCGTGACGGTGCACAATGCAGTCATTATTCAGATATTCTTTAAGCAGTATTTCTCCCTGGCAATCCAAATCACCTCCAAGAGAAATCAGCTGGGAACCTTACTGCAAATATGCCTTCCTTAGGCCCATGCCCCAGACAGATTGAACCAGAATGTCTGGATGTGGGACCTCAAAAGATATTTTTACTAGATCCAGAGAGGATTCCTATACCCACTTAAGTGTAAGAAATCCCTGCTTTAAAGTTTAGGACACTGAAGAACCTGGCTGATCAAGATTGATAAATCTTGAAGTTCTTGTGTGTTTTGAATGGACTGTCCTTCAGCTAAAGGCAGGTAATTTTAAGAAAATCAATATAAAGATCTTGAATAGACATTTCTCCAAAGACTTACAAATGATCAATAGACACATGAGAAGAATCTCAACATCACTAGTCATTAAGGAAATACAAATCAAAACTACAAGATTATAACCATTAAGTGTTTAAATGTGTGTGTGTGTGTGCGCGCGTGTGTGTGTGTCCAAAAAATGAAAAATAACAAGTATTGTCGAGGATGGTACAGCCACAGTGTACAACAGTTTGGTATTCCTGAAAATGTTAGAGACTTACCATATGATCCAGCATTTTTACTGATAAGTATATACCCAAAGGAATTGAAAGCAGGAACTCAAACATATTTGTACACCAGTGTTCATAGTAAATAGCCAGGAGGTGGAAACAATCCAAATATCCATCAACAGATGAGTGGATAAGCAAAGCATGGTATATGCATACAATGGAATATTATTTAGCTTTAAGAAGAAATGAAATTCTGATGCATGCTAAAACATGGTTCAACCTTGAAAACATTATGCTAAGTGAAACAAGTCAGACACAAAAGATGGATAGTGTATGGTTACACTTATGATTAGACCTAAGTGAGGTACCTAGAATAGGCAAATTCATAGGGGCAGAAAGTAGAACAGAGATTACCAGGGGCTGAGGGAAGAAGGGGAATGGGGAGTTATTGTTTAATAGGTGCAGAGTTTCTGTTTGGGTTAATGAAAAAGTCCCGAAGATGGATAGTGGTGATGGTTGCACAACATTTTGAACGTACTTGATGCCACTGCGTCGTACACTTAAAGATAGTTAAAACGCTGCATTTTGTGTTATTTATATTTTACCACTACTAAAAAAAAATTGTTAAATTTTTTTTAAAAACCTCCTTGAAGATTCTACAGTACAGCCAGGGTGGAATACCACTGGCTTACAGGGCTGGGAGGCACAGAGACCCTCATGGGAACTCGGACTCCCTGGAAAAGAGTGTGAGAGCTGAAACACGTGATGAGCCATTAGCGAGGAGGGGGATGTGTGGGTGGGTGGGGATGTGGGTTTGTGTTTGAGGTGGGAGGAAACACATGTCAGACTGGCATCCAGCACAGACAGTGACAGCACTGGGTTTCAAATCAGACAAATCTGGACTCAAATTCCACATCTACAGTCTATCAAATCTGTGACTTTGCTTAACCTTACCCTTTGTTTAGTTGCTTAAAAAGGGGGTAATATCCCCTACCACGTAGTATTATTATAAAGATTATATGAGATTATGCTTGTAAAGTGCTTAGGACCAAAAGTAATATTCAAAATATTTAACAGCTGTATTGCAGGGGCAAGGCTGGCTTCAAAGGCTAATGACCTGCACAGTCGTCTAAGACCTCGAGCTTAGAAGGGCCCCACAATTAGTTTAATGGTCTGCTGCCACAGTCTTGAAATTCTTAATAACTTTAGAACAAGGGCCCTGCATTTGCATTTTGTACTGGGCTTGGCAAATTAACTGATGCTGTGCAGGGGCATTGACCCCATCACAAAAGAGCTGGCAGCAAAGCTGATGAGCTGTGCCAGACATTGCCTGCCTAGTTGCTGGACCATGGGATGGTCCAGAGGTTCTCACCGTAAGGCTCAAGTGGAAGGGGAACTTGAGTATAGTGGCTGTAACTGCTGACTTTCTCGTGCCTCCCCCTTGCCATGTCTGGGGCCCCTCTCACAAGATCCTCTGGTGCAGTCTCTCCAGAAAGTAAGCCTCCAGTCTAATGACCGAAGGAGAGATGGTTTGAAAATGCAAATCGTAGGGCTGAGGGAATGGGTAGTTGGCTGACTGAGTGAAATGGATAGGGGTTCTGGCTACTAGCATCTCCTTTTAAGGGTTTTCAACCAATCCTCCTGTCTTCTGCTGTCCATTCACCCCCTTCAGAGGTGCCTGGTGTCAACAGGTCCTGAGCCTCTCGAGGATTTTGCCAAGTGAATCAACTTGATTCTTGCCGTCCCCACCGCACCTCACACCCATCCCTGCCACCACAGACACTGAGCCTTTACCTTTCTCTGTTCTAAGTCACTTACCACTTGTCTATCTGCTGTCTAGCTTCAAAAATGTGTAGTTGTGGCAGGTCAGCTGTCAGCTCCTCTGATATCTCCTCCCATTCTGTGTCCTCATGAATTCATTCCTCTTTTCATTCTTCTGCTATCATTTTCATGAAGTTTTAGGAAAGCAGCAAACGCAAATGCACGTGTCGGCTGCCTTTAACCAGAGGCTGTCCGGATCGTCTTTAAGATTGTAACATCCAAAACATCTTCTCATCGCCCCTCATCACCTGCCAGACAGGCGTCTCCAGAGGCTTGAAGTTGAGATAGAAACATGGTCTGCTGTTCAAACACTTTTCCCAAGTTGGCATGGGAAAT